AGGTTAGAAGTGATCTCCACTGTATATACGTGCGCACCTTAACGAAGCTAAATATGTCACTGGGAATTTTCATTTCACAATAATATAAAATATATTAATAGTTAAAGCATATAATTTGATTATAATCCACCGTACCTAAGATTGCATAGGACTGGCAATTTCTTATCTTTCATAATATGCATATTCTGTTTACTGATTTATAAAATGATATATGAATGCGAGGAAACTTTATGAGTAGAGGATAAGTCACTTGTCAAAATGTACAATTCATACTAGACAACTCAATATGATATTTTTCGCAACTTGTATAAACACAGGATAATGCGGAGCTTGATATATGACGTGGAAGCTTGTCCATCATTGATATATATTTTCTTTGTTTAAAAAATTTTAATATTTTATTTGAGTTTCATCTCTCAAAAATGTATAATACAACACTACATTAAATGTATAACAAAGATATACTAGAGAGCCATTGTGCACAGAGTTGTAAGAGACTATAACATTGAAACAGTACAGCAAATTCATCTACTATATACATGTATACTACACATGTACTATAATACATGTCTCTGTTTATATATACATACGAATTATATCATTGTCTTCAAATAAAACACTAATTTCTCTGTTTATTATATTCGTTAGGAGAGAGAACACTCGGATTGTATACCCCCAGGTTTTCGATTACATCAAGGTTTAATGAAACAGTAACTCGATATGACCCTTGTATGTCCTAGAATGTTGCCGACAGTTTAAGTAATTAGGACAAAAGTACTGAAGAGTTGCGTGTACTTTTTCTGTGTCTGCTTAATCAAATTCTGCTTTTAGCTAGATTTGTAAGGTGTCGAAGATTTTTTTCTTTTTTTATATAAGAATTGGACATAAAAAAATACGACAGTGCAATTAGATCAAGCAGATATGAGGAACCTTTATTAAGGGGAACCTTCTATCGGGAAAAATGTGGAACCTTTCATATGCTTTTCAAAATTTTAAATCCCATGGTTTTTTAAATGAAAAACATTAAATTCGCTCAGATTTTATCAATCTTCTTGGTGTTCTTATATTTATGAATGTATAATACCAGTTCTTTTTTTTCAGTCTTAATGATAAAATGTCACTTTTCAATGAAACCTTTCATTCATGAAATTGCACTCGGTGATAGTAGAAAAAGTTGTCGTTAATAGAGCCAATAATTTCTAATTATGGTTTTTAAAACTCAAAAGCCATTAGGAAACTAGAAAATCCTTTGGTAACAAAAAAGTAGGATTGAAAAAGTAATAGCACGTCATGATTTCTCATCAGCAGGCTAGTAGTTGTTGTATGTCATATCCTAGGGGTTTTCTTTATCAAGAGAATTTGGTTTGTTAAATTTATCCACAGCTTTTAAACTTGACACCTGTCTATATTGAAGACTGCCTTTAATGTTACTAAATGTCAACTTATACAATGTCTAAACTGTAGTTCAAAATATTAAGCACTAAGCGTATTATTTTTTCTAAAAATGAAATGTTTCTGGTTTTTCAATTTATTCGTTGAGATGACAATGAACGCTTACTTCCATGTCTTTATCAAGTTATTTATTTGATACACCATTCAGATATGATTTAGATGAATAACTGGGCATTACGGAATATATTTTATCATTCAAAGGTGTAGATATGTTCTAGATTGGTTACACAATATATGAATCTAACATTTTTCGACTTTTCCTCGGGATGTATATGAACATACACTTTATCCTATACTATGGAATACTCAGTGTCCTTTTTGGTGACACAACTTAAAAAGACAGTGAATTTCTATTTTTACCCGTTTTATACTTCATTTAATACCTTGAACCTTAATGTATTATTGTTCCCAATAATTTGTATTGAGTTAGAAATTCTCATGATTTACTGATGAACTATCCCAGTGAGCAAATGTCCATTTTGCATATTTTATAGTAAAACATGTATCCCAAGTTTATTCCGAAATTACATTAGCAGAATCACGGATTGAATTAAGCGATTGTTCAGAAATTTGCGCACAGGATCTAATCAGTTGATAGCATACACCTCTGATCAGCCAATAAAAGCTTTGTAAAGTTGTAAATTAATTCTATTACTTTCATGTCCTTTGGGGCTTTTTTTCTAATTGAAAAGGCTGGAGAATAATTAATCACTCTTGTAATCTTCATGAGACTCAGCTCTTACATTAGTTAATTTGGTTATTTATTCAAAAGCACAATTTGTGTCGCTGTCCCCATTCACTTTCAAATTTATATTACACGACACTTTATAATTTGCATGTGTACATATTTTCCAGTAAAACGATTTATACATTACATAGTGTTACAAAGTATGAAACAAACCGTGTAAAACATGCAAAGTGAGTTAAGAATTAAATATTTTTCCATTCATTATCGCTATATATACATTCTTGAACTAGACATGTTCAGCAAACTAATAAAATTTAATTCTGGCAATTTTAGTTTAATAGATCATCGATTTTTTTTCAACAGCTCAACATGACGGACGGACAGAGAAAAGTCCTTTTCTCTCTGTTTTAGATTCCGTCTGTCCGTCAATAACACTTTATGAATATTAATCCTATGTGACTGATTTTTTCATACTCGCTACTCATACTTGTCATTATGCGTTAAGTAGTTGACCAAATCAATATTTAATCCCTTTTTTATTTGAAAATGTTGACAAAAGTTTGTAAACGTCGACCATTTATGGTCTATTTGAGCATGAGGACATTTTGGAAAGTTTTTTTTTTTGGTCCTTACACAATCACGCCGATACCTGTTGTTCAACAGCTTTTACAATTACTAAAATAATCAGTCTTCATTTACTATAGTAGATGACCCTACTATACATGTATCGCCATTTTAAAATGAATTTTGCAGCTTGAGATGTTACGAGGATTGTTTGGAGTACTTTTTTCAGCTAGTGCACGCAATCATTTCATGAATGATTTTTATGTGAAACCGGCATAATTTATTTCACCTTTTTTGGAAGTCAAATTCTAAAACTTATTTGCGTAAACGATTAAACATGTTTCAATGTTTGGCACCAAAGACCGTAAAAGCACTTAAAATCGATTATGAGATGCATTTTATTCGATATATAGTAACAGCTCCACAAGACATCAGATTTAATTTTTTTTAACGCGTTTTCTTTCAAAAGATTTTTCAAACGCCCGTATTAAAATATGGTGTTATGCAAAATCAAGCAGACGATATCGACATCAATATATCGGAAAGACATTTTTCTCGAGTTATAATCATCGGCTTTGTAGTTGCATTTGCACATGTTTAGCAGGAACTGCTTCCAGAGCACCTGAGTTTTTGGTCGGATTCGTGTAGCTTTGTCTTTTGTTTCCTGTGTGATGTTTGTTATTGTTGTTGTCTTTTCGTCGTTTTTATTTTTGGCCATTGTGTCTGCTTTATTAATTGGACTTGATTTTAGATTGCTCCTTTGATATCTTCTCTCCCTTTTTAGCTTTCTGTTTTTTTTTTGTTTTTTTTTTTTTTTTCCATAATTTGCCAAAGAAATTGTGACAATCTTTTATAGTCTATGAAAGATAACTCGGAAATTTGATGCGAAAAAGAGATGTATCTTTCTCAAAAGATGACGAGGTTCACAATGATTACAGTAATACAGCATGATTTGCATAATTACCTCGTTCTAGGTTAACGCCAGGTGAAAACAAAACATAAAAGGATAATTGAATGCTAAAATCGGTGTATTTATTGAATTGAAAAAAAAAATAAAATGCAAAAATGACGATTTATTATACTGTCAACAATACAAGTCCTATTACAAAGATCGATGCATCGCTATAAACATTCTTGTGCATGAACTTTACAGATTATCAGGCGAAAAGATACAGTCGTTATATACAAAATTGTTAAGTAGTGATTGAACATCGTGGTAGTAAAAAAGGGTAGACAAAAGATCGATCGTCAGTTTTCATTGAAGTTTTTCATCAGTCAATAAAAAATCATACATGTTGGTTATCTTTTTTACAAACAATCGCTTTTCTGTTGTTCATGAACATCCTTTTACTTGAATGGTGACAACAGAGATATTAGTACAATGCATATACACAGTATGTGTACCGGAATGAAACCGGAAAGGTTTTTCTCTTAAATAAGCAAAAAATGCATGAATGCAAAAATGTTTGGAAACATTCTATTCAATCATTTCACAGGAGAAATATACATAATTATACATTTTTATGTCCCTTTTGGTCGTTCGCATTTTTAGCTTAAAACGTTTTTACGAATTTTTACATACCTTTCAAATATGATTTGAGCGTTTCTGATGCCCGAAGGTTAATTAAAAAAATCGCTACGGACGCACGAAACTGATAAGGTCATTTGTGTATATGAAATAACATATGCATAACATATAATAAAAAAGACAAGACAAAAAAACCGAGTTTCTCAATATACTTACATTTTTCGACAGGTTACCTAATCTGTGGTATGACATCCTGGTACCCGGTCAAGTAGTAGCAACCAAAAGACGTAAAATAAGACATATAATCGGTGCATTTTGGGGGTAAAGTTTACTGTTTTCCGATGACTTTGCCGTGTATATAAAACATAATTTTAACAGTTAATTTTCCCCCTAAATTATACCGATCGTAAGCCTGATTTAACTTCTTTAGGTTGCTCTTACTTGACTGAGTACCAGGATGTCCTACTACGCAGAAGGTGACCTGTCGAAAAAATTCAAACTCCGGAGTCAAAAGTCGGTAATATGAAAATAGTCAATTGAAATATTGCGTCTATGCTATAATAGATTATTATTGTCAACTGGTAGAAGAAGCAGAGACAACTGTTACAGTAGAACAAAACCAGACAGTTATTTTCTAATGCATGAACTTTTAAATTTTATTATGAATGTTTCAGTCTCAAACCATACCTTTCGGGTTCAGAGACTGACATTTGTTACTGGTATAATTTGTGATGTTGATGAATTCAAACACTCATAAATAACACAATAAAAGGAACGACTTCTTTATTTTAAATAAGTTTATTGCATGGAACAATTCAACATACTAAAATATTGATTTCATAGTTTTTGTATTTTTTCCACAATGATGAGCAAATATAATGCTTATAGAATATTAGACTGGAATTATATAGAAGTATTCTATATCTATTGATTTTGATAAACGATATTTTGATTGATTATACTGAGTGTCGATAGAAATGCTTTGTAGTGATGTCAGAAGTCTTCAAAATCTTAGAACGATTGGTAGAATAAAAAAATCTGTGGGTTCAAATTGTTTTATCAAAAGGAAAATACATCAAATTGAGAATGGAAACGGGGAATGTGTCAAAGAGGCAACAACTCGACCAAAGAGCAGAAAATAGCGTAAGGCCACCAATGGGTCTTCAACACAGCGAGAAAATCCCGCACCCTGAGGGGGGCTTTAGCTGGTCCCCAAACAAAAATGTAGGGGTTGTATTTCTATTGTTACACAGTTCACAGATCTTAAAGCTGTTCCAGAAAATAATGTGCCCCCTCCCAGGAAGGCAATGTTTGTAATGTGGGTTGTCGTATTTGAAAGTAAATGAACGACGGAGGTGTGTTGGAAAAAAGTGTAATATGTAGATGGTGGGTTCACATGTCTACTGATATATGCAAATTGTAACAAGAAAATAATATATATATATATATATATATATATATATATATATATATATATGGATGGTTTTTTTTCTTGATTATATGGGTTCTGGTCATTTCCATTTCCATGGTTGGGGGGGGGGGGGGGTGGGGGGGGGGGTATAGTTGTTTTTGGAACAGCCCTTAGTAACATCAAACTATTATCAGATTATTGATCACCCAATATCTTATACTTAAAAAAAAAGTATTTGAAACCTTACGTTGAATATTCATATGTTCATCTGAATTAAGCTGGTAGATTTAATACTGGTTGGTAAATTAATTTTTGACAAGGGACACGCACCGTCACATCAAAGTTACTGTAAAACAAAACGTCAAAAATCGAATCACCACTGAACACGTAAAATAGCTACAGTGGAATTAACATGCTGCAGATTTCACTTATCATGTATAAGACATAAATTCCTGTTTTCAAATTAAATTTTCAGCAAATTCGTTTCTAAGTTTTTGTGGGTTAATTAAGAACTGGGGTCGGTGACTTCTTTAAGGTAGACCATAGCTTATTCTGTAGGGAAAAGGTTTTACTGGTGACTTTAAAGTATAATTTGTAATATATGTACAGAATATCAACGGTTTACAGAGGTTTTATTATCTAATGTCATTATTTGGATTTTTGACAACTTCATCGTAACTAGGCGGTGGTGCATCAGGTAAAGTACTGTCTGACTGAGGTATAGCTGACCCATCTGGCTCTAAAGGAATGTTTTGTAAACTTACTGTCTCTGTTAAAATAAATATTTTTTTTATTAAAACATAACACACATACATATAAGAATATTAAAATGTTTGCTGATCTTTTTTTTTAGCATGTGAATGTCAGTGTTCGCAGTTTAATTGTTATACATTTTGAACTTTTTAATATAATGAAACTGAAAATATAAGAGTTTTGTATAATGAAACTGAATTTATAAGAGTTTTGTAGCTTGACGGGAAAGATAACTATATATCTTGTCTTAAGTTGGCTGATGTTTATTCCTCAGTCATGTTTTTTTCTCTCAATCGTGAACCATCGAATATGCGACTTGACTTGGCATATACAGCACATGGGTGCTAACATTGGTAAAGGAATTGCTTCTCCTCCCGGAGCACGTCAGTTCACTCCTTATGTCTGTTTGTTTTGCTCACATATTGTTGTCAATATAATGAATTTTATGCGACTGTCATACGAGTGAGAGGTTTAGCTAGCTATAAAACCAGGATTAATCCTCCATTTTCCTCATAAGGAAATGCCTGTACCAAGTCAGGAATATGACAGTTGTTTTCCATTCGTTTGATCTTTTAATTTTGCCATTTGATAAGGAACTTTCCGTTTTAAATTTTCCTATGAGTTCGGTATTTTTGTTATTTTACTTTTTCCTAGTATTGTTTTAAAAAGGTTTGTGTTGCTTAAGCTATAGTTTTCAGTGTTGCAATTCGTGCATTATAATTTTCGATGTTTGTGGTGTTTCTTCCGGTTAACAGCCTCGTTTATCTTTAGTCCTGGAAAACCTTGTGAACATTTCCAACGTTCACGGTCAAGTTTAATGGTTACGGATATTTACACAAACGATGGTTTATGAATTTGATGATGTGGGTTTCACTAGTGGAGCAGAAACTGATTACACTTCCTGAACACTTGAGTTCATAACCGTTTGTTTTGGGATTCGTGTTTTTCTATTTTGTGTATAATCACTGCTGACTTTTATTTTGTCTTTTTGTGCTATTTCGTAGCTATGATGGTGTCTTATTTCTTTGTCTTACGGGTTTTACTTGTTCTCTTGGTATCTCATAGGTTTTTATATTGCTCTTCATTAAAATAATTTCTTGCAAACTGAAAAGCAATCTTTTCTGTAGTGCTAATCTATTATCAATCATGTTTAATCAATATCTTGGAATACATATAATTTGTTTAAAATAAAATATAATATATTGACATTCCACCGATTTCGGTATTTGACATTTTTGTCCAAGCAAGACCGTGGGATATGTGGCCATTTGCTGGAAATTCCATGTCAACATCATACATTTTGCACAAATGATTTATTTTCTTTCTTACGAGGTTAGATACAATCTGATTAAAATACAATGCAAGGCAATGCTTGGACACAGGATCTGTATTCTAATAAGATTGGGTTAGATATACAACATATATTGCAAACTGAAAATACAATTTAAGTCTGAAATATCAGTGCCCATGATATTCTATATCCTATAATGCTTACAGAGAATCATGTTCCTTAATAATATAACTCACCGCTTGCGTTATAACTTTGTTGTGGTTCTTCTACATGTAAACAAACAGAATGTTCTGAGTTTCTCCTTACTTCTGGGTCACGTCTCCGCCTTGAATTGCTTCCCGTAATTTTGTCTATAACACTTGTTATAACAGAACAACATTGCTGCCGTGCACGTTTATTGCTGAGTATACAGAACACAACAACCACACCAATTGCCAGTGGAACAATATCTTCAATAACACTTATTATTTGGTCCAAAATTTCTGCAACTATAATCAAATATAAAGATTTCAATTTTAACAGGTAGAAATACCAAAACAACTATCTAAATAGGAAAATTTAATTTCGATGTACAAATTTAGAACGCGACAAATATGGATGGCGTAAAACATTGTACCCAATTAATTCCTGCATTTTGTTGGGTAAAATATTCCACCCGTTTGACAAGATTTTTCCCGTTGCGAAGCCAAAATATTAGTTTCTAGTGTGCAGAAATGTCTATGTATTTTAAAATGAATATATAAAAATCTGCAGAGAGAAAAGATTCAAAAATGTTTACAGCAAGCCTGAAAACAAGTAAAACCACTGTAAAAACTTTATTTTCAAGCAATTAACACAATAGTGAAATGATACTAAAGTTAAGGATTTAACACATAACATCAATTTTTACCGACAAAAATGCATAACCTCCATCTGCATGTAAATAAGCTACAAGATAGCGCTTCATAAAAAAACATACTGTAAGGACTACTACGGATATATATTTTTGTTTTGAAATACAATGAAAATAACACATAAAAACCAATGTAAGATGATTTCTGATGTTTCCGTATAGCGCTATATGAAATATGCAAAACCTATTGCAGTTTGCAATGCTGTATAAAAGTTGTTCTCAATAGCACGTGTGCGGCTGATGGTAGTGGTAAACATGTGGAAATTGTTTTTAGTTTGTAGTAGTTTAAAATTATAAATAAAGGCAACAGTAGTATACCGCTGTTCAAAAGTCATAAATCGATTGAGAGAAAACAAATCCGGGTAACAAACTAAAACCGAGGGAACACATCAACTATAAGAGGAAAACAAAGGAACAACAGAAACACTGAAGTGCAACAAAAACAAACGCCAACATACATAGAAACTAACTATTTGATAACAACTGCCATATTCCTGACTTGGTACAGGACATTTCAAGTAAAAATGGTGGGTTGAACCTGGTTTTATGGCTAGCCAAACCTCCCGCCTATATGGCAATGTTAACAAATATCGTTAAAATGACAACACTACGTGACAAAAATACAGCACACATATACACACACACACACGCAAGAACACTCATCACAGAGAACGCACAAATAAATAATATAATAGTCGATACAACATGTAAACCGCAGAATAACAACGAACATCTTCCATTAACAACAGACCGCACAGGACATCAAAAACAGTGACGTATTTTTGTAACGAATATATAATCTTGAAATTCATACAATTATTTTCACAATAGCCAAACAATTATCACGATAATGACGTTATTGAAAGGCAATTTCATAATTATTTGGACTACAAAACGATAAGACATATAACACATTATCCAACCGAAACCACAGCAGAAACATCATAAATAAATACATGAATGTTGGATGCATAAAATACCGAGACACATCGTATAGCAATGCAAATTCACACTCGGCAAAACAGTCATATTCGGGAATAGGTCACGTTCGGTACTTAGCAGACAGACGACATAGATATTAAACCACAATCTAAAACATGGTAAAAATGTCATTAGTTAATTTAGACACAGACACATCGTATAAATCAACCAATTCGTGATGGTGTCCATAAAATTTACGGTGTGTCAATTTTTAATCTTTCATCCTCATAACTTTGTTGGGGTAGTTTCTGCGTAAGGAGAACACTCCTGTATATGAAGTCCGTATAGTGTGAACATGCACGAGCTTAACGTATCAATTGAGATATGTAAACACCATACGACGGAGCAGAGGGTATGTAACTGCAGAGAAATGGGAAATTGATTATTGGGAAGTTGGAATCATCCCGTTTGTCATAGATTTTAGTGTGAAGTAGTCCATCTGTGTCAATATTGAGGAAAAGATTAAGGTATGAAGCAGTCCTTCTTGTATCTATAGTATCCTTAGTTTCAAGTTCACTGGGATACATGTATATTACTTTTATAAATTGTGACTTGGATGGAGAGTTGTCTCATTGGCACTCATACCACATCTTTTTATATATATATATATATATATATATGTAACACTCAGAAACGTGTCCTTCCCCCCAAACGTGTCCGATTCCCCCAAACGTGTCCACATGACGTCACTGAACTGCAAAACAAGTCTTAATGTAAAAGGGCGCCAAAGCGTGTCATTTGTATAAACGCCCAAACGTGTCCATTTTTTAATAAACACCCAAACGTGCCCAATCCCCCAAACATGTCCATATCAATCTCCATTTTTTTTTTTTTTACTGGAACTATCATTCGTGTCCATATTATAAATACGTAGGTTATTTGGTTATTGCTTTTTCATTAACGTATACTCATTTGACTATTTCATTAAAAAATAGAAATACATTTTTTAGAATAAAATCCCAACTAGTGTTAATCCCGAATAACCGTAAAAATTTAGGCCTAATCCTAAATTCCCGGTATGATAATAAAACCTATCTACAGTATTTATGGTTAACATGATGTCGTTCAAATAATGCATGAAATATTTGGCACTGGACGTTATGTCTATTGTTCGTGTGTCTTTAGTAATGCTCGAAACCTAAAATTTATTAAAAAATCTGATAACCAGTTTATGATCTATGAAGAGCTTTTAAAATACAAGAACTGTTGAAAAAAAGAAAGTCAATTCTGCTGAAAGCCCACCGTGCAATATTCGGATTAATATAAAAGGCATCATCGGAGTTTATTAGTACAAAATAGTTCACTTAGTAAACGATTTGAACTGTACTAAAATTATGTGTATGTTTGCTCTAAATGAGCATGAAATACTTGTAACTGAAAAATAAACAATTTCAGTAAAAAGTTAATTCATATGTTACAGATTAAATTTGAAATTATGATCATCATTAACAACCGGCATTGAACAATCTAATGATAATAAATGACCACTTCATCAACTGTGTCCCCCATCATAGCCGTAAACGTTATTGATGTCATTTAGGACATACGTTTATTAGCGCTAAAAGACGTGAGACGTTCTGGCGTTTAACAATAGACACGTTTTGGCGAATAACAATTGTCGGACACGTTTGGGGGGTTATGAAATCGGACACGTTTGGGCAACATTGAATATTACGGACACGTTTGGGGGGAATAGACACGTTTGGGGGAATCGGACACGTTTGGGGGGAAGGACACGTTTGGGAGTATTACATATATATAAGAGTTTTCATATTAAATTTCGCAAACATTTGAAGTTTCATCAACTGTCAACAATTGGTTCTGTGAATGAAACAAATACACTGACCTAGGACCATACATTTACAATGTTTCATGATTATGTTAATACAGTTAAGAATATCAATATAACCTGTCTAGTGTATATTATGGGTCCAATTGATTTTCAACCACAGTATGAACATACCTTTTGGGTCTACAAATGTTTGTGATGTTATTTTCAATTTCAGATTCCACGTCGACTCCTGATAATTCTTTAATATGACAAGCTTAAACATCATATCCTTAGCTTTGTTAATACATTTGCTTTCAATGCTTGGATCTGAACTATCGTAAACCTGTATTATATAACATATAAACATAAGATTAAATATAAACAAGAACATGTATCCCATACGACACCATGTCCCACTTTTAATATCACATTTCCATGTTTAGTGATCTGTGAAATTAGGATCATATATTTTCATACGTTCACACCATAATACACATAACTATGTAAAAGTTTCCTGTTTTAGTGACCACAACTGATTGTATATTACATTGAGAGACTAACAGACGGACAAACGGACGGATGGACACACAGACCGGAAAACACAATACCCCTTATATTGTACTTGGGCATAATGAATGCATTTATATGTAAAACTATTGTCAAAAGAATCATTTGTCTATTATAACGCATGACTTTGTTAAAAATCATCAAAGAGAAACTTAAACCAATACACTGATTTTGTATATTTCCTTATGAAAATGCTTGAATTTTCATTGATTTTTTTTGTCTTTAGATTGCTATCTCCTTGACACATAACTCTTTCTTTCATTCATTTAACTAGTGTTTAGATCATAATGATTCATTGCTCAAGACGTCTGTCGCATAATTGTTGTCACATGAAATGGAATATAACCATATCTGCGGCTTCTATTTGGCCAGTCCACATTTTCAAAAATTGGCATCTGCTTCTTCGCCAAACGCGATATTTAAAATTTAAAGCAAAAATGATAGGCTCGGAGACAGAATAAGGTGTCCGTGTTTCCATACCGGTATATACAATAGGGCACGTTGGTACCATATGTACTTTAGGTACTCAACACTAAGAAACCAAGTGTCCATTACTTTGACAATTTACAAAAATCGGAGGTTCACTCTATTTCTAAAGACAAGACATTCAAAGGTCTTCCTTCACCAGTTCCAAACTTTCTGCTGAACATTAAACATGGTATATAGGGTATTTGTTTGCAAATTGTACTATCAATTATATCTACACTTAATCATCAAAAGTACAATACGTTTTCCTTCTTTTAACTGACAGATGTGTTCAAAGTAATCGATCTGTGTCTTTAGAGTTGAACTATTTCACAAGAAGGATAATATTTATGATGTAAACTCTTCATTTTACTTGATTAAGCATTCCATCAATAATATACACAATTGTATACATTTTAAAAAACAAGTCTACTTACCCATCGATCGGTACCATTGGAAACGACTAATTCTACATCATATGTTGGTAAGTCATATTGTTCAGTCTCAAAACAAACTTTAAAATTTGAGAATATTTCTCCGTTATCGCCACCAGTGAAGTTAAAAGTACATATTTTGGGATCAGTTTTTCCTAACCAAGTTAAACTGTATTCTTTATCCAATGGTATTCTTCTTGCATATTCATCACAGTTGTAGGAATTAAATGATACTAAAAGTAGAGATAGAACTAAGAATTTGATGAAATAAGGAATGATATTGTTTGTATTTAACGGACATTCTGATTGCTGTAGTATGTGTGTATAGTGTGAAGATAGTTAGAAAATATATAAAGCATTCAAAATTGACTAGTTTTCAGATAGTACATTTGTAAATCACTTATAATAGCACTATGGCATAATGCACTATGCCATGTTTTTCTTGCTGATGGGGGGTCGTGACCTTCATGAAAGACATAATTTTACATAGCACCGTGTGCTTTTCATATACGTCATTCATTATTTGTCCGAACACCTCTCTTGTTGCTTTTGGTCTGTCTTGTCCATATATTATCCTCCTGGCTCCTAATTCTAATCCTGTTTTAACGCTATTGGTAAACTCAATGCCCTGTGTCGGAATACAGAGTTAGAATATATAAACCTTGGACAATGTAAAGAAGAAAAGAATTAAGACAAGTTTTCCTTGTGATATTAGTAGCAGTGTGTCATTCTCAAAAGTTTCTTTCCTAAAACTCACTACATAAAAGCGTCTCATACATAAATGTCTTACTAAGGCATGCTATATTTGTGAGAATTTAATCACATTAGGCTATACATGTAAATGTTTCTAGGTGGCTTAAAACTATATCTTGGATATCATTTGTTAAGTATTTATCATTTATTGAAAAACCAATAGATAAACATTCCAAAACCAAAACGACGATTTAAACAATGATAAAGCTATGCATAATCAAACTCATCATAGATACCAGGATTAAAAGTGTGTACGCCAGACGCACGTTACGTCTACAAAAGAGTCATAAGTGACGCTCGAATAAAAAAAGTTAGGCAGGCCAATTGAACTGCGAATTTGAAGAGCATATTCTTTCTTATACAGATTGGTTAGGTGTTGTTTTGGGTGCACATCAATGCTAACGTTTTACAAAAATATGTAAAATTCGCAACAGTTATTAAAAATTTGTCTTGAGCAATAAATTGTAGCGCTGAATAATATTTTGGTTTAAGGGTAAATTTTGAAAAATATTTAAGAATCTTTAAAGTATATCACTTAGCTTCTTTGATGTTCAAATAAAACATATTTTCTTTCAGCTAATTCCGTTATTGAAAAATACAGTGAACCGTTGGTCATAGTATTACATTCATTTCTCTTTTATTTTCGCATCGATCGGACAAATAGATTTGCATTATTATACCATCATGCACAAAGAAAAGAAAATACCAAGAAGAAACAGAAATTTAAAGTCCAAGAAGAAGAGAAAATGGTAAGGACAAATGAAATAAAAAAGACAAAAAGCACAAAAAAGTCCACAAATTACCACAGAGAGGTATGCTCGACATATACGGAAACAAATACATGTTCACAAACTTGAAAATGAGAAATCGGCCTTCATATCATATTTAATATTCAAATCATATTTATTCATTTGTTTATTTAACCACGTCAATGAATTGTATATTTCCTTGATCAAGTTTACAATATTTAATTAATGTGTTTTATAATCAAAATTTTAGAAGCGCACAATCCTTAACGACGCTTTCTGATCAATGCATGTCTGATTTGAAAGTAAGGAACTTTATTTTGTTAATCAATATAGTCCCAATGATATCAGGTCGGACTTTTTTTATTGAAAACTATTAGTAGTTGAGAGATATTTCACAATTTCAATAGATAGCATTGTGTGTGGTTTTTTTTCAATTTCATGATTTGAGTTTGATCGAACATGGAGTTTAATGAGGGTATGGATGGGGGTCCTCCATTTCTGTATTCTTTAATTTTTTAGGTCATTTTTCTCTATTCTTTATACTTTTTGCCCATTATTCTCTATTCTTTATATTTTAGCACCTCATTATTCTCTATTCTTTATTTTCTGGTCCATTTTTCTCTATTCTTTATATTTTTTGGCCATTATTCTCTATTCTGTAAACCCCCATCCACACCCTCTTTAATCAGTTTATTGTACAAAACATGTGCAGAAATATACTAGCATCTATAATGTAATATGCCTGAAAAAAGTTCAGTAATGAAGTACAAATATTATTGAAGCTGTTACGTTTATTTTAATATAATAAATCAAAATATAATTATAGAACAATTTAGAATTAAGAAATCATAACCAGACGCCACCAGTGTACTTACGGTCGACTGTATAACAAGTTACTGTTCTAATCAAAATCATGCATATTATGACAGTAATTATGTACACGTGATATGTTCTCAACTCCATGGTGTTCTTTTTATATAAACATCAGCTATGCACTGAAACATAAAAAAAAATATTTTCGTCATCAAAAGGAATTATATCACCTTGCCTAGTTTGTCAGTCGATCTTTCAATCACTCCGTGCACTTTGCCTCCCAAAATGGAAGGTCTTGATGGTGATTCAAGACACACTTGTCGTACCACTTTAAATCAGTATCATATTACTGAAATACATAAACCAGCACCATAAAATATTATATTAAACTTGGTTCTTATATGGCCCCTGTATATCTATTTATCATGATCATGATATATTGTATATACATGTATCGTATGTAGGAGAGGAACAGCGGGTCATTGCTATTAAAATTTTGAAATGAACTCGCGAATTATTTAGTTTTTGTAAAATTGCCTTTAAATGGCAAACCACTTTAATTTATGGTTTAGTTGGAATATAATGCTAATGCATTATTTAGATACGACTCAAAACACATTTAATATCACGATAGAAATAAAACCTAGCTGTTGTTTTGTTTTATCATTTTAACAGAGACATATATACAGAGACATATATACACATTTATTTTCTTTTTCTGGACCCAGGACATCAAATCAAAAGACCCTAGGTCTCTATCACTTATGGTTTATGAGTTACTATATTACGTTTCACTTATGTCGAATACATAAAGGGAAATAACTCTTAATATATGGAATCTCTAGATCTTTTCGATCATGTGTATATATGTCTCTGTTTTTAAATAGCAGTTCAGTATAATTAATAAATTGTTGATTTATTATATCAATTAAATGAGAACGATACTTGTTTCTTTCAGTAGTGACAGCTTATTTGTCGAACTTCGCCTAATAAACAGCTGCGCCATGAGCGCATGATACGCCCGTTGTGTCTTCAAAGAATAAAGTTCAATTGACCTGATGAACAATTTTATCCTATGTCAGATTTGCTCTTAATGCTTTGGTTTCAGAGATATAAGCCACAATCTGCATTTTACCCCTATGTTCTATTTTTAGCCATGACGGCCATCTCGGTTGGCGGGCTGGGTCATCTGACACATTTTTTAAACTACATACCCCAATGATGATTGTGGCCAAGTTTGGTTAAATTTGGTCCAGTAGTTTCAGAGCAGAAGTTTATTGTAAAAGTTAACGACGACGACGGACGACGGACACCAAGTGATGAGAAAAGCTCACTTGGCCTTTTAGGCCAGGTGAGTTAAAAAGGGTGAAGTCTAATTAGGAAAATCCTATACCAGAGATTTTGAGGTAAAAATATATGAGAAATACTCCCTCCTTTGTCCGTGTCAAAATTACTGAAATACATATTAGTATTTTTATGTCATTAACTGTTACTTGTAATTTTAGTAAGTTTCTACAGTGTAAAGTTTGGAGAATAACAAACTAGATCCGCCACTGACTCTTGTCTATGATTTTAAATTCTAGTTGTCTTTTTGCCTCCAGGCGCGTAGCAACCCGTACGCAAAAACGCAGTTGCGTACACATCGAAAATTTGACAATAATAAAAAATGGTAAATCTAGTAAGAATAAAACTAAATTTACAAAATAAATTAAAAATTATTATAAAAATATGTTAATAGTCACTTTGTAGATATATTCCGTTCCGGAAACTAGTCCACTCTTCAGGTGTCAGACCACCAATTAAAAATCCCCATCTGTTCAACCAAATTTTGCAATTTCCACAGCTTTCTAAATATTTTACCTTAAGTTTAACTTCATAGAAATCCAGGTATATCCTGAATCGTACATGTATCACCTTTTTACATGCCAATTTTCAACCTACCTTTAAAGTCTTATAAGAAAAAACTGACCTTCGAAACATAGGTACTACTAAATATAACCCCTGTTTTTTTGGAAATCTTAAATTAGTATACTATGGAGCGCATTAATCCTCAATTTTTAATGCAAGCTCATAGACAAGTAAATTTTGGCTCAAAATGGTCTAAATATATTTCTCTTTCACCAAAAGTTTCATTTCTGCAAACTTGTTGGTTAGTTTAAATAAACAATGACATTAAAAGCACTATTTTGTGTCAGAGTAAGGCTACTTTTACATACGTTCTAAATTGAAGGGAGTCAATTGGTGATCTGACACCTTCATTTATGGAATCAGAATCGTGATTATGTTGCTGATGCAAACAATTAAAATGGCTGAGTCCTCGGCGTGTCAGAACACTATTGTTACGTCTACTATGCCTCCTTACCCTGACATATTTTCTTAAGATTTCAAAATAACTGATGAAATAAAATATGACGTTCTAAATAGACCATGGACAACGATTCATTCTTATAATTTTCCTGTGAGTTATGTATAGTCTTACATACGTCGTCATAACAGATTTTTTAAAGTCCAGTCAAACTTAAGTTTAACGGGGTGGTAAAGGGTAATTTTCGTGCAACGTCTTCGCCGTTTTTTTTATTTGACGATCAATGTGTTTTTATTCTTTATTTTACGGTCGTGCAAGACGGCTGCTTCGTTTAACATGTTCCACTAATGTAATAAAACGTGCTATAAGATTAAAAGTGCTTATTTTCCATGCTTCGAGATTTGTGGTGCTTGTTTTACTTGCTTGGTAAAACTATAGGACTCTCGTTTTGGAAGCCAAGTTAATAAAAAGAAATTGGAAATATTTTGATGCTTTTCCTTGTAGATTTCGGGACTCAAGTTCAAACGTATATGTACTGGTAAGTTAAAGGTTTCTGATTATGTAACAATTAAAATATATATGGTGGTGGCACTATATATTTTAATTGTACTTAATACCAAATCAAGCTCAACCCACTACACATTAAAAAACCCAAATTTCTAAGCCAAAAGTTCTTGATTGTTTTTCTTTAATTAATATTTTTTTTCAAATTTAATTATTTTCAAAAGTTGCACAGATTTCTGTGTGGTCATCATTTAAAGTCCCAGGAAATCGCGAGAATGCAGGATTTGGCACCATTTACCCCAGACCCCACACCGTATGACTTCCTTCCCGGCATTGAGTACACATCATGTTGGCCTAGCTACGCCCCTGGCCTCTGTTAGATTGCAGTTCTTTCTTACATATCTTTTTATTCATGCGCATTGAAAATATTTTCTTTGATTGCAAATTCAACATGTAACATTAATAAAATTCATAAATGTACTAGCACTTTAGACGTTAGTGGTTGCATGTAATTATTTTCAACATATGAAAAACGTCTCCGGCTTTTCTTTAAGTAGCCTGAACGTAAACATGGTATACTAAATAACCTCACTTTCAATTTATCATATGAATAAATTTTTTAAGTAAATTTAGAATAAACAAATGTTTATAATACCTTGTAATCCTGTACATCGACGCCTCACACGATTTCTGATATTGTATGACTAAAATAATTATTGAAAACATTGAAAATTGGTATAATTTGCAAAATCACTTACTGTTCTTGAAATGATGTATAATTATATATTATGTCAAACTGACACTAACTTATAACTATTGATCCATAATGATTATCAAAGGCTTATATTGATTGGTATGTGAACTGTGTATACAGACCTTCTAAAATTCAAACTGACCACACGCACGATACACGCACGCACGATACACGCACGGTGAATGCACGATACACGCACGGTGAATGCACGATACACGATACACGCACGATGAGCGATGAGCGTTACACGGAGGATTAACGAAAAATGAATGATGAATGATGAACGCACGATACACGCACGATGCACGATGAATGATGAACACACGATACACGCACGATACACGCACGGTGAATGATTCATTGACGAATGAACGATAAGCGCTTAATACACGGTTCTCAAAGCCATTTTATTTGGAATTGCATTTAAAATTAATGTATGATAATGAAAATCTATAAGGGTATACAAATTTTAGATATCTCGCTTTCTGTGTTGATTGGTCGACAGTTTTACTAAACACTCCATGTATTAAATAAATTAATTGTAGTATAGTATTTCCAATATCAATGAGTGTTGTCAAATTATAAAACTCATTGATTTTATAATTCTACTTAATATAAATAATTTATAAATTGCTACGTTTTAAAGAGTGGCGATTCCAGCCATTTTTCAAAAGAGGATTCTCAACCCAGGATAAAAGGGGTGGTTTTAACCATATGTCCCTATTCAAATGCATTGACCCCCCCCCCCCCTTCTTTTTATCTGCCTAAATTTGTAACCTAAACTAATTAATTATCATATGTTTACGTTCCGAAATTTAGGAAATATTGTTATGTTTCGAAGTTTAGTATGATGTCCATTATCACTGAACTAAAATTCATTTTTGTTTAGGGACCAGCTGAAAAACGCCTTCGGTGCGGGATTTTCTACCCATTGGTGGCCTTCGACTGTTTTCTGCCTGTACGTCTAAACACTGCTAAGGACTTAAAATATGCCACTAAGGACTAGAAAGGACGTGTTACTTGTACTCTGTTTTCATACTATGGTAGAGATAGAAAGATTTTTATTACATAAATTCCAATTTTTAAAGAAAAAGAATCACCATTAAATGAGTAGATGAACAATATTTGGAACGTGCCGGTTTTTCCTTGATATTGCCGAAAATCAGTGATCCGACTGACACGAGCGAACTTACATAACAACATTATTGATTAAACAATCATAATGTCTTTTTTTTAACTTAAGTTACAATGTTCCTTATATTATCAGAATCGTATGAGTTAATTTAGAGCAAAATATATAATTTGTCAGAAAAATCTGATTCGTACAAATTAATTAGAAATAGCTAAGAAAATGAAATTTACCAAATAAAGTGAGAAAATTTAAACATTTGTAATACCAAATACTTCATAATATACTTCTGAAACGACCTTTCGTCCTGAATATGCATGAAATTTTTGCCACTGGACGTTTAAACAACCACTGAATAATCAATCAATTAAATTTTGCTCTCAGTAAAAATGATTTAAACAATATAAGCCACAATTGTATCCATCACTTGGTGTCTGTTGTTTGTTTGTACAGTAAACATACTCAATCTTTTTATATTCCTTATACAATTTCAAGTATGTAATAAAATTCATACATATTTTCAAACATCCTGGCACTTCAAATTTCTAGGAGGTGAGATTCTCGGGGTTTTACCTGAAACTCTTTGGGAAATGCAATTTTTAATTCCAATTCCAATTCCAAACTGTAAAAGATATCCGTTGTTTATGGCAGTCAGGCCTCGCGATCGGTCTCCAAATTTAAGCTCCCATTTAGGTAAATTAATGATCATTTATAGGGGGGGGGGGGGCTTTTTTCTCGGGACAAACATTATTTTCCTTCCTTAAAAACAACTTAACAATTTTCTATATTTTTCATTTAATCATAAACCGATGAATATTAAATGATTTTTAAAAAAATAAAAAAATACTAATATATCTAAATATCTGGGTTATTTTCTTATCCAAATAATTATTTTTTTAAGGAAAAAGTGTTATCAGTTATGGCCCCCTCATTTTAGACATGACATTTTGCTTGATACTGTATGAAGATTATTCGTTGCAACTTTTATGAAGAAATTACCGACTTTTTTTTAACTAGATAAATATACAACAAAAATACCGTTTTTTCTTCTTGTATCAATTTCTTTTCACAAAAATTAAATATTAACAAATAATTGTTACACAAATGTAGAGCCCAATTTTATAACGAAGATATTCCTAATCTCTTTACCGAAATCCGCATATCTTTATCTTTTGAAACAAAAAAGTTAAGGATGTCTGTTCAAAGGACAAAAATGTCCAAGAAACCGAAATGTTATAAGTAAAATTTTTTAATGTCGAATAATTCAAATCCATTTGTCTTTTAAATTTAGCACATGAAGATATAATTTTTATTACATATACAAATTGATTTTGTAAAAATTAGCTTGTATATATGTGAACTTTTGTAAAAAAAAATCACTGTGGTTCTAAAACTGTATCACATGCCCATAATTGTCCTAAAGCTAAATGTCATCGTCAGATTATGAGGGTCTGAATGGGGATTCATTATTTCTGTATTCTATCATTTTAGGCAATTTTTTCTAATCGTTATACCTTTTGTCGATCATTCTTTATTCCATATATTCTAGTACCTCATCATTTTCTTTTCTATATATTTGTCTGGTTATTTTTTGTATTCTTTATTTTTTGGTCAATAATTTTCTATTCTATAAACCCCCATCCACACCCTCATGTATAATGGAAGACGATAAACATTTTAGTATACATACCACCCGTTGTCACTTTCACCTGACATACAAACCACAAATTGTTATTTTTACCTGGACACGGGACTTATATAATTACGTAATAATAACGGATATAGTAAATTCAGTAGAATATAACCTGTATCAACGCACTGGCTTGTTAAATGAATATTGATCTGACAACTGTTTATCATATTTTTAGTTTATTTTAAAATTGAGAATGGAAATGATGAATATGTCAAAGAGACAACAACCCGAAAAGAGCAGATGACAGCCGAAGGCCACCATATTTGATAAGGTTTTAGTTTCTAATGAGACAGTAACCATCGTATTTTCAGAAAATCTCTAAACGGATAATGAGAGTTTAGCGACCTTGACTGGCTATACAGCCCAAGCACGGTCGGTCTCTAAAAGTTGCCGAATTTAAGAGCCTATATCAAGAGATAGGCTTTACCTAGCTTTAGGTGTTTAAAAAATAACCATTTAAGAACCAAATGTGGCTTCTTTATATTTATACCAAAATTGAGTTCAAGGCAGTATTTTGTCGAAGAGAACAATTACACAAAGTTCAACATGCGAGAAGAGGTTTCATTTCCCTTATTTATTTTTTATTGAAGTGAGTAATCTTTTGAGATTACTTCACGGAAATATATTTTAAATGAAAAGGTGCAACTGGATGCATCCCTACAAAACAAATTTAAATATATATATTTTACCTGAAGATCTGTAAAAGCAGTGAAAGCGCTTGTAAAAGTGATGAATTGAAACCGTTATTATCTTTTATTAATTTTCTTATATGTTACCAGCATACGGATTCTACTTAACTTTTCTTTATATATATATATATATATATATATATATATATAATTTAAATTTGTTTGTTATATATATATATATATATATAAAATGATGGATATTCGTCAATCAGACAGCAATCCAACATAAACACGAGTAAGTTACCTGACATCTAGAATAAGAGGTTTAAGCATACCCCGCGCTGGTCAACTTTCTGAGTTGTGGGTAAAATTCAATATACATGTAGGACTGTGAAACGGGAAATATACGAAAGATTTGTTTTTACGTACGATGAAGTGTCATTCCCTCAATACATACGGGTCCACCGTGAAACTATTCCTATGATTATATAACGGTAAATGATGATCTCATTAGAGGAACAAATTAAGTAAAGATACATGCTGAAGCAAGAATAATTTCCACATGCAAAACATCAAATAGGACGATCTCTAAATTAGTACGCGGCAACTTTAACTATTACATTCATAGACAATAACACTAGTAAATGCTTTATATACTGACATTGAAACAAATATACTGCTTATAATAATTGCACATCTGTAGACTTTAATCTAGGTATCCCGCGTTATATATAAACCATCGCAAACCATCGAACAGCTCATCGCACTTCGGTGCAGACCAGCGCACTTCACGCGTGGCCATCAAACTTTATGATCTCCATTGCACCTCCGAGTCATACACACATATATATTCCGATTTTCTAATAATGGTTTTTATTATTTTAATTCCCGTAGGTATTGCCCAAAGAAATAGGGTTTAGTTAAGGGTTTACACATCTTCATAGCTAAAATATTTTGATACTTATATCACGAACAGACAAACATTTCTTAAATTGTCAGTATATAAATTTAGATTTTTTTTTAAGAAACGTAGGTTTCAGCTACAGCAGACTAAATTGGCTTTTGATGGATTGAAGGCTTCTGTAAAAATAAGAAAATGTGGTATGATTGCTAGTGAGTCAACTATTCAAGAAAGTTCAAATCAAGAGGAATGCTAGCAGTTATATCTATACGACCTTCAATAATGAAAAAATACGGGAACTGTAAAGTCGGTTATTAAAGGCCCCGCCCCGACATGAAAAAAATATGAAACAATTCAATTGAGCAAACTAACGGCCTTTTTTATTTCAAAGCTACATGTATCTTGCCACAAAAAAAAAGCCCAAATACATGTATATAACAGAATTGATGTTACGAAAACCACTGAACTACGTGCTTTTCACTTTGGACAGACACATAAATACTAGTACACAGAATCTTGTGAATGTGTATAGGCCCTTTATTGGTCATATAGCTCTACACTCCTATCTATTTTATACATTCTTTGGCTTTCAAATATTTAGCATTGAGCGTTCCTAGTGAAAGTAAATCAAGAAAAGCGTTACAGATGCATGAAATTTATAAAGTGTTGTTTTGTGAGGGGATCAAAACGTAGGGATCGATGTTAATGTCTGTTTTATATGTGCAATAATATCGGCCTTCTAACTTTAGTGAAACTCT